TGACTAGTATGTAATTTTGTAATAACAATTTTTTTACTTTGTCACAACAAATATTTGAGAAACACCTAGTTCAATTGTCGGTACACTAGTGCTTAGTAAACTTTTATAGCACGCCTAAAACCCTTTGCATTTATCCGTATAGTCTGTTTCCAATATTATGAAAGCGATTTCAATTCAAAATGGAGATCTTTTTGTTCCTGTTCAGTTTCTTTTGTGGTCAAAATAACAATGAACTTACGTGTAGCAAGAGGTCGATTATGAATATATCGGTCATTATCACCTTCGAAGAAAATTCTTTCAGTATTATCTGTTTTCTGAGAAATTCAAAAGTATATTGACTTTTCATTATTTGAGTTTGATACGTGTGTATGTATTTAGTGCTCCTATCGAAGTAGGTTTTTACTCCTGAAGTTATATTAAGGTTATATGTATCTTTCTTTCCAGTTTTCAGGCTCCAAATTGTCACAAAACTGTTCCAAGTTTCAATTGAAATTGCTTAAAAGATGTACTAAAATTCTAGATTAATGTATTGTAGAGGCTGCGCACGCGGCTGTGTCTCAATGTACTAATTGGTATAAATGTATTTGTATTGTAAATCATCCATTATCACGTGTAAGCGAAGACGGGTAACCGGGTAGTTGTGTAGAATTGATTGTGATATCAGTAAACATTTTCATACGAGCATCCAAATTGTTTCGTTTTATTAATTCCCCGCCCTTTTTCAGCTAGGAATAAATTTAGCAGGAAAAAAATGCAGACGTAGTTCGTATCGGTCAAGCGTGTGACATAAAAATTATAGTATATAGAGCTATATAATTTATGTAACTGGCCATAATCGAACGCAATACAGCCACGCATTTCCGCTAATTTGTTCCTTCTTACTTTTGGCTCAATTTACATTGAGGCGGAACAAAATGGACCGGAAGTATCTATTTCGCCTTGCTGCGAAGGTGCGCGCGGACGCTGGAACGCTCGAGCATTTCGCGGGTTTTCTCGCGACTGCGCCTTGAGACTGTAGTATTTCGTCGGCGTTTGACGTCACATTGCCCCTGCCTTCGCGCCACTTCCCGCGGTGTCGCCGACGGCAGCAGCGAAATTCTCACGAATGCGCGATCTGTTCTTTCTTTTTCACCATTCATAAAAAAGAAAACTTTAAAAAATAAAAACTGTTTACGCGTTTTACATTTTGCGACAGCCCTAACCATACTGTATGGTTTACGTAAAATGGGTAGTAGGTGAAGTTGCCAAACTTGTGGCTTCTTTACAATTATGTGAATTAACCATTCAAAGCTCTTACAATTCTTCGTAATTTTTAGCTATTGATAATGATGGCAAAAAATATGGTCAAGATGCCTAGTTTATTTAGCATATTTTCTTTTCCCATCAAGGTAGGCAGAGACAACAGCCTTCCTCTTGCTACGATCTTGTTTACTTAGTGAACCTATTTCAAATTTTCAGATATAGGTCTTTGTGTTAATTTCTTCTGTCATTTAAGAGTAATATACGTAAACTAAATGTAGGAATGGTATAGGAGGGGGGGGGGGGGAAGGAATAAAACAACAAAAATACTGTACGAAGTAAGCTTTTTTAATTAATTTTAAGTTTTATACAATACAAACAATATATATGGAACTCGTACACTATAAAATAACATGAATAAGATAGTTGGCGGATATATACAGAATACATACGTTACTGACAGTTCAATTAGCCAGGACAATCCGGACGCTTATATTTACGAAACTTATTTTGACAGGTCCAAAAATGTTTACCCTCATACTAGATTTAGGGATAAAAATCTTCTTTAGACCAATAAAGATTCACAAATTGTGCACTTAAAATTTATTAAGCCCAATACACATTAAAAGGAGATGTGGGAAGAGCAGAGACATTAATAAAGTTGTAAATTTTTATTAAAGTGGTTAAATTTTCAGGGTATGATTGAGACTAGTGCCGTTAATTTACAGTATATTCCACCTCTAAGGGTGACTAGTATGCCACGGGATGAATCTGGTTTCGCGCACTTTCCGGTAACCGATTTTCAATAAAACTTGGCAAATAGATGCAACTCCACACTTTTAGAGTCGGTTTTTTTAATAAAAAACAGTTATAAATGGCCAATTCTACAGCGCCCTTCGCGATCGCTAGCAATAACTATTGCTCATGGTAAAGGTACAGAAATATTGTGACCAAGAAGTAGAGGCGGAGGTAAAAACCAAATTTGTTATAAACATTCACATAACTCAAAAAACCAGAAAAAGCATTCAAATCTCCGCACATCTCCTTTTTGTAATGGTTATCGAGCACTATTTGGCACGAACATATATTGCATCTACAGCCTCGAAGAACATAATTATACAAAATATATATTATATTATTTTGTGTATCCCTTACATAGACACGTCACTTTCTGTCTATCCCGTTCTAATAAATACATTGAGTGCACTTATGTACAGTGATACGGGATCATTCCTTGTTTACGCGTTTTGTACACTCCACCACACATTATAGTTCCAATTTATGTTGACAAGTTTCTCAAAATGACAGTGTTTATATTTCTGCATAGTGGTATGTGGTACGCTTACATTTTTACTGCGTAATTAATTTGAAATAAGAATAGAAAATTACGATTTTTTACAACATTATAATGAAATTGAATTATGTGTTCTAATTATTGTTTACATTTTTATTGTTGTTGACACAACAGTCGCGGCAAACAATAAGTTAGGCATTTTAAATTAATTTCACGACTTTGTCGTAAAAAATGTAGAGTAATTGTCTATGGTTATTTGAAAAAAAAAAATATCAGCCACAGTTTCAAAACCTACAGAAAGTTTACCTTTGCACAATTATTCACAGCATTGAAATAAAAATTGATGTATTAAATTGTTTCTCATTCATTTTCTTTCAAACTCGCCAGGGATACAGTTGTTACTTCATAGGGAGCTACTATGGCAGCCATTTTGTTATTTTTTTACATTTCTTTATCTGTTAATATCTTGACTATCCTAGTGTTATAATCTTGTTGAGTTGAGATATTAACTAAAAAATATTATTTTTTAATAAATTTGTACAAATTTTTAGTATTATACTATATAAGCAGAAGAAATGATAAAAGTAATTATATTTCTATACCTTTAATTAATATTGACGAGTTCCTGAATATACATGGAAAACTATTGAGATAAAATTCCGATACTGATTAATTAATTGGTCGACAAACAGGTTTTCAACAGGCTAATTATACTAGGTTATAGAGTAAACAAAATGGCTGCCGTGATTGCCGCCAATTTAGCGGGTTATCCGCCGCAGTAACTAACGCTATGTTAACAAAACATTAAATATGACAATTGCATATAGTAAAATTATGTTGTGAGATCATATTTAATACATCACAGGTGTTAAAAGAGAAAATTAAATTAAAATTAAATTGCGAAGTGCGCTCAAAGTCGTTGCGTAAAATTTAGGTACAAATGTAAAATTAAGACTGATATAATAAGCTGATAATGCGCTACGAGGAGAATTATTATGGCATGCGTTTTTTTGACCCCACTGGTCAAAATAAATATTAATTCATAAAATACCAAATCTGGACCAAACAAACTGGTAAACAAAGTTTTTTACAACGACTTATTAATAAATTTACATTTTAATATTTATGTCAATGTTTTATGGATTCCTCTCGCAACGTAATCTATACCAATTTAGCTAACACTACAATGTTGAGTACACTTCAGTTTGAACGGTTCAGACAAGCGCCTATCATAAGACCGAATTATAAAATGTGAAAACAACAATTTTTATACCAAAAATTCTATCTGTAGTCTTATAGACAAAGGCTTATAGACAAAATTTTATTATTAAACGGGAATTAACGGGAAAAGAAATATATGTCGAATTAATACCAGTACTTTCTTAGCTCTCAATGAGAATAAAAAGTCCAGGATAATTTTTGAAAAATACTCATGTCTGTAGAAAATAATTGGAACCCAATTAGCATAGCATCTGTCTGCAAGACCACAAAAACGCAATTCATATAAATTCAAAGAACAAAGTCAAAATTTTCTATAAACAAAAAAATTATTAAAAGTACTTATACGAACATGTACTGTTTGTAGCCGTTATAAAAAAACGTCATTTTCGACGTACAAGGTGTTCAATTTTTCCGTCAATTTTTTTTTATCAAACAAGTTCATTTCAAAAATTTCATTACAGTCATGTCAGAACTTTGGTTTATACCAACATAATAATTGTACGTTGTACAACGTACGTTGTTTACAAAACTACATACATAATGTATTATCAACGTCATATTATGTATAAGGCTTATTAATAGTTAGAAAACTAAAGGTAGAATGTGAATGATTTAAAGTGCGTCTTTTTCGTTCTTGACCGCAGCCCTCTAAACCTAAAATCGACGAGAAAAAAATTTGTACTTTAAAAAAGAACTACGGTCTGGACCAAATCACTGTTAATAAATACCAGTTACACCTGTTACGCAAAATATCAGTATTGAAACAACTACAACTAGAAGTTTAGAAATCAGATAATTTTTAAACAATCATCAATATAATCATAAAGATATAATCCATTAAAATACAACAACAAACAAATATACTAATTTGCAATTGCAACACAAATTTGAAAACACAAATACTCAAAAATAAGTTTTATATTAAACGTTGTACTAGACATTTTAAAAGTAACAAAACTGTTACTTGTAAACTGTAGGATAATTACAAAGTTCCGATTCTGGGGGGCTACTCTCGATCTCCGTCCGACATCCGTCCGAAACAATTACTGTCAAATAAGTAATATTCGACAAAAATTAAAAGGCAAGTATCCAGTATGAAGCTTCATTCGCATCACGCATCTTTTCATTTAGTCAAGTATTGCTTATTTGGCAGTAATTGTTTCGGACGGATGTCGGACGGAAATCGAGAGTAGATCCCCTGATTATCATAATCTTTGGAAGATTGTAAAAGTTTGACTATCTTCCTAGAATTATGATAACGGTCGTGGTTTGATTATCCTACAACATTAAAGAGTAACGAAATGAAAAGTTGAGTATTTGTATTTATCTTATGCTATCAGCTTTTTGTTATTGAAAACTATTGAATAAAAAATATAATATTCTTTATGCAATAGATTAAAATTAACTATTGCATTAGGTACCGTTATTTTATATAACCCAAGTTTTTAATGTTTCAAAAGATTTCAACTGTACCAAACGGTTGTCGGGCGTGAAACTCAACTTAAACAGGTTCTTTACACTAACCACAGCTACGGCCAATATAAAAAGAGCCCAGATTTATTGCAACCACTATAGCGTGCCAATTTTACAACCTATAAAAGGTGAGCCCCGCAAGCAACGGTTTTGAAACAGTGGACAACCTTAAAACATTGTAGATAAAATGAAACTCATCAAAAATGCTCTCACGCGGTGCGTAGAAATCTCATTTCTAACAGTTTTGGTGTAATAGCATTTTCAAGAAGCTTGTCTTGTGACTTTAGTGTAGTTATAACAATTCCACGAAATTACACCGACTTAAATCGTATGACCAAATTGAACCGAAACTAGGCTAAAATTAAAACCTAATATAACTTAATTTACTTGTCAAAGAGATCATAGTAAACTTATTATCTAATTGTCACATTAAATATTGCCTGATGATTATTAATTTTTAAGTTCGGAAAAAAACTGTAAGTAAAATGGCGGAGCGTTGAGCAAAATTGAATTTTGTGATGTGAGTGACATAGTCGGATAGTATATATTAAATCATTACTAAGCTAATATAATGTCTGAAAACTATCTTACAAATTACTTAACATTATTATATTGTTTATTGTAACACAATCGTTACAGATATTCAAAATAAATAAAAGAGATAAAAAAAAATAATTTGCACAATTAGAAACACCCTGGCCGCTCAAAATTGAACAATTCTAAAATTAAACATTATTTTGGTGTTGTAATCAATCATGATTGTCTTTTAAATTTCAAAACACGTTCCAGTTCTGAATTCTTAGCTGCCGAAATAGAATTTTTTAAATTTCGAAAGGTGTCCAATTTTGTTGGGTAATTTTGTGAGTTGTTGGGTGGTAGAGTCTAGCTTGGACGCTTGTAGTGTGTCTGGGCGAGGCGTGCCACTTTTGGTGGGCGAATGTGGGCGCCATGGCCACACTCATGCTTGTGCGTGTGAGCTGGTGACTTCTTGCCGCTGTTCGATAAGCGCTTGCGGGGTTTCAGGAAATCTGGAAAAGAGGAGAAAAGCAAATCTTTATTGATGTCTTAAAACCATTGAAAAATACTTAATGCAGCCTACTTTATTCTTTATGTGCTCTCTTTTGTCATAACTAACGCATTTGCATTTCGGTAACTTTCGAGATATTAAGCTTTTAACGTTTTTTTTTGCTAATAAAAAATGTCGATTACGCTGATTTTGCTTAACGATAAAACTGAAACTAAAACAAAAAAACGAAACGAAAAACGATTATAGGAGGTTTTAGACCTCGTTTCGTAGATTCCAGATATGTTAATAACTCAATTTCGCTAAAAATATAGATTACGTTGGTTATGATAAGGAGGGCAGTAATTATCCATATCATTAATAAATACAGTCAAGGAGGTACGCAATAAATATTTTTTTATGAACGTGCAGAAAAACCGAAAGAAATGCTAATCTTTTTGTTCGAGTACGGTATGAGTACAAATGATGATTAATGTGCAACGGTTTACGGTCGATCGTAAAGTGAGATCGATATAATGCGCATGAGTTTACAACGTTGTTAACGGCATTGCACATGAAAATGACTTGTAAAACCATAGAGGGCGTGTCTAGGTTTTTTTTTAAATTTTACGATTCAAAAACTTAGCAGACCCGGATGGCTTAAACTAGCTTTTATATATTTTTTGACGTTTTAACGACTCTATCCATAAGGATAGGGTAGTAAAAGTCGAAAGTATGCGACGGCGGCGTAAACTGTTCGTAGTCGGCGACGTTCTTTGTAGCCGTTTCTAATTTTGAAAAAATATGGGCTAATAACTATAAATTTTTAATAGCCATTTTACTACTGTTTGATTTGTATATTTTATAATGGAGGTTGTGAGTTACTGGTGTGAAAGGATGAACGCAGTAAAAAATAGTTTAAAAAAAACTATTTCTTTTGTCTATTACGGCACTGGCAACTGGTAATTTCAGTAGTAAATTACATTACTTTATCTTTGAGATAGACAATACAAGAACTTTGATCTCGAATTTTGTTTTAACGAAATTAAATTAATTAATTAAGATAATTATTGCATCAGGCGACGCAATTGTGAAAAATGTTTAAATAATGATTAATGACCAAGTAATTAGAAATAAAATGTAAGGAATCGTTTTTATATCGTACGACCTTAGCTTTCAAAATCTAATATCCTCCACCCATCATCACCTTTTTAGATAAAACGACACGAACTACATTTTATATAACTCTAGATGTGAAATCATATTTTTTTTATAATATCGAATGCTGGGACGAACAAGTCGTGCGCCTGATGGTAAGCTACACGCCTGTCCATAACACTTGCAGTGCCACTGGTAAGGTGGTAAATACTTCCCTGGACGAACTTTTGACAAGGAGCTCTACTGCTACTAAAATATCTCCAATGAACACTACGACAATTTAATTTTTGGACCTCTTCTGTTTAAATTTTTTTTTTCTTTATTTTCTTATTTCACAAAATACGGCTTTTAATTTCAAATTTAGTTTTTTGTTTCCTTTTTTTTCATAAAATTCGGGGAGGTTAATATTAGTAAATAAATATGGCTGTTTACAAAAATAACAGAAAATGACCAAAAAATAAATTTGGTGTAGTTGTTCATTGGATGTATCGATGTATGATCATAACACATTAAAACCCACGGGCTACTAACTTACGGATGGTAAATGTTAAACAAAAACCAATACCATTTATAAACTGATTGATCACACACAGAAGGATTCTAAATAAACGATCGAGTAAAAACACGTTGGCAACACGCATGCGCCAAGGTCACGGCTTACTTGCGCGTGCGCATTGTGTCTATGTATTTGATGTGTACTGAGCAGCGATCGGATGACATACATAATGATTTTGAAATTGAAACCAACGGCTAACGAAGTTCAATTGGTGTTTATGTCTGTGGAATAACGCCTAATTTAGACTCTATTTCTACTTTTAGTCCACTTAATGTAAAATTGTAGCATGGGTCTAGTTAAGTAGCTAGACAGTGTCGACTTCAGTATCTGGTTAAACGTAGTTAAGTTCTGATTTATTTGAGCATCTCAGTGACCTCAATTTATATTTCTTAAAACACATTTTATAATAAAGTAGGGAATGAAACTATTTTTTCGGACCGTTACGTTGTAATACAAGTAGTCTTAAATCTGTAAGTACAACCTTTAAAACAAATATTGTTCAACGCAATAAGAGTTAACTCTCGTAATCAACAAACACGTTTGTTAACAATTATTGGGACACATGGCACTCATTGGCATTCAGTAAGAACGAAGGCCGTAACAATTATAAAGAATAATTAAGCTAGATATCGTGTATCATGAATTTTGTTACAAACACTGTGTAAGAAGCTGTAATTTTACATAATGTGACGTGTTGTTTATTGGTAGTACTCAATGCCATATCGGGTTAGTCTCGTGATGGGTGTTTTCTGTTTAATTTCCGTGGCAATTATTTTCATATAATATGTCATAAATATTAACGGTAACTATACGCGAATGCTGAAATAGCTGAAATAATAAAAATTGCCACGGATATTTGTCAGTGAACACTAATCCGACAAGACCGTTCGTTGGTTGATACGAGTTTCCTGTTTTTTCCAAAACGTGACATGAAAACATGACGCTTGACAGTGTGGTCTATATTCACTGGAAGGCAACGGATTGGTTTGCTTGGAAATATAACCTCTAACCACTTCTTTATTATTAAGAGTCTATATTACGTCATATGGAATTCAAATTTTTCCCGTACTAATACGGTTCATTTTGCTTGGGTCCAGCGGTACGGACAATGACTTTATTTCAGAATTTATATTTTTACAAACGAAGTTATTTTAGAAAAATGTATATATATCTTATAATACTATAACACGTATACACGTGTACTATTTAGTTCAGTACATATCAAAAAATCATTGTACCTATTGAATACAGCGGTTTTCTTGTAAAATTTCGATGTAAGTTTGTGTTTTTTTCTATCGTGAAAATTTTTAGGAACCGTGTTTTCACACCGTAAAGTAATCAATGATTATCCTCAATTTTAGGTGCTATATATTTTTTCCAAAGTAATTGTTTCTACACTTTCACTATTATGCGGAATCGACTAATGCCATATGAGGTAGTATAAACTTGTAACGTCAATCAATTATATGTCCCAGCTGCTGAGTACGGGTCTCCATTTAAGAAGTTTTCACTTAATGCGAGGTCAATGAGAATCTTTTTCGACATATTTAATTACGATGTTTTTATTTGTCATTAGCGAGAGGTAAAGGTAACGTAGACGTACTGTAACGACGTACGTAACTTAGAAAGTACTACCATGATATCCAGTTTTAATAGCAGTAAATCTCCTTGTGAATGAGTTCGTCCAAGCTAGTACTGCCACCTTACCTATGTCTGCCGCCAAGCAGTAATGTCAGCATTGTAATATTGCGTTCCGGTTTTAAAGGGTAAGGGTGCTGGTAGGAAGTTACAGGCACATGGGAATTGTCAACTTATGGTGACCGGCACAATGGCAGTGTCCCTCAGATTTTTCTGATTTAAAGCTCTGAAAGGCACTGCAACTGCTATGGACAAGAGCGTCGCTTAACACCAGGCGTACGACTCGTCCTGTCCACTTGGCACCATTAAAAAAATATATTCATTTATTTTCTAGTTTGTTTTAAATATTAATACAAATAACGAAAAATGACTTCGATCTGATAGGATTCGAACCAGCGTCTGAGCCATACCAGGGCGATCGCTTTACTAACTGAGCTGCAGATCGAGTCAGCAAACCTTTACGAATTTTTCTATGACACATTTTTTGCCATAGCGCCATCTGTGAGAAATCTATTAAAGTTTTTCTTCATCCAACCCCGCCCTGGTAAAATATAATTGAGAAGGAATTAATCTCTCAGTGGGCTACCACTGTTTTTAAATTTTATTATTATGTTAACGTGGTGTCATTTTTGTAGTATTCATAGTAGTTGCATCCTTGAGAAATAAAATGTATAATTATTATGGTTATAAACATGAAACCAAGGTGACATTCCAACGAAAAGCCTTGAGGAGGCGTTGAAAAGGTTTGTAATAATAAGCCGGCAAAAAACTGCGCGTCTGCAGTCGGGAACTATGTCAGTGACGTCATGGTGCACAAGGCCGACAAGACTGGACTTGCTTTCCCGCCAATTTGCCCAAACCGCACCCACCACGTGGCTAGTGCCGCCAAAAGTCCAAGCCAAACGACAAAATAGCCAGTGGGTAAACATCTTGAATATACAAAAAAACACACGAAGTTGGTAAATAATGAATTTTTATTCGTCATTGTGATGTGATGATTATGTAACGGAAAACGTGATTTTTTCCGTTACCTTCTAATAAACCTAACCTTCAACATTTTATAATACAACATGGACAAGGTTAAGCGAGTTGTATATCTAATTACTGGCTCTATTTCCATGGACAGACTAGACAGTCGACTTAACAAAGGTTACGCAATTTTCCGCCAATGACGAAATCATTCCCGCCATTTTTCTGAGTATCACGATTGATTTTCAATGTGCACTGACCAAGTATTACGTGTTCAACAAATGCGTTGTCCACAAATAAGCCGGGTTGTCTTGTAAACATGCGGGCGTAAACAACATGATCTTGAAGTGTCAGCCAAAGTGACTAATTTTCAATTCATGCTTTCGAAACGTAACGAACATGCTTTCGCACGTGCGGATGTAGGTACTTTAAAAAATTCAAATTAACGTGGTGTTGCCATCTAATACGGCAACCCTTCTATATTTTTTTAAATATCATAATATTGTCAGCAGCTTAATCCGAGTACAGTAAAATTTATAGTAAATTATGTGCCTCTAATTTTGCCGACTTTTTGCATTAATTCGCCGCTTGAAATATGTGTTTAGCAGGTGGCCAAAAAACCGTTTAAACACAGACCAGCTCAGTTGGGAGAGCGGTAACCCCGGTTTGGCAAACAGTCGCTGGTTCGAGTCTAGCCGGATTGT